ATCTTGGGTGCCCCCTGCTGGAGGGGAAGTGGAATCTCATTGTCGGCCAGGGAGCCAAGTTGGATGCCTAAGGGAGCAAGTGAATTCACAGCAGTCTTCCCTTATTTGCAGTTCTGCTTACAGTGGTTCCAGTTACTCTCTATCAACCATGGTCTGAAATTAAAAAAAAAAAAAATCCAGAAGCAAACAATTCCTAACTTTTAAATTGCATTGCCTTTCTGAATATGGTGATGAAATTTGTACCAACCTGTTCTGTCCTACTGGGATCATGGACCACGTCTTAGATCAGCGTATCTAGGTTGTATATGCTACCCACCCCTCAGTCATTTGGTAGCTATCTTAGCTCTCAGGTTGACTGTCATGGTATCACAGTGCTTGTGTTCAAGTACAATTGAAGATTTTCAGGGGAAGGACATTGATGTAATTTTTAATACATTACATTATTACAATTGTTCTATTTTATTAGGTATTGTTGTAAATATTTAACTGTGCTAATGTATACTTTAAGCTTTATCACAGGTATCTATGGATAGAAAAATGCATGTATATAGGCTTTGGTACTGTCTAGAGTTTCAGCCATCTACCGGGGTTCATCGAGCACATCCCGTGAGGATAAGGGATTCAGGTGAGCTCAGAGAAGGGTGTCATGGTAGAATCCCCTTGCTTCACCTGGCTCCCCAACCTCCCTCTCCTGATGTCTAGAGATTCTGGGGTGCAGGGACTTCTTCCACCTACAAACATGAAGTTATACCTGGGTCTCTGTACCTGAGCACCCCTATAACCAGCTACAGAAAGCCTTGGGTGGGGGATTTAAGGGGTAAAGTTTGGCCCAAGTGCCCCCGTCCTTTTCATCCCAGTCTGTCTTTGGGCTCTAGGTGTGAGCTATGAACCTGGTGGCACTTAGTCCAGGGCATCCTGCTTCAGTGGATGTCTGCTCCTGGTAGCAGCACTCATGTGCAGGACAGTGGCTACGTTTATCCAAGCCGGGCTGCTATATCTGAAGTGCCCAAGAGAACCAAGATCACCAGCCTTCCTGGGGCCAGGAGCAAAACATTTTATGTGTAAGATGAGATAAACAAAAATAATGATTTCTTTTTAAAGCATTTTTTACATTATAAAAAGTATATAACCTAAAATTTGCTATTTTAAGCATTTTTAGTTTGATGGCAGTAAGTGCATTCACTGTCCTGTGCACCATCACAGACTGCCACCTCCAGAACTGTTCCATCTTCCCAAACTGAAACTCTGCACCTATTAAACATGAACTCTCCATTTCCTTCCCTCAGCCCCTGGTGACCACTGTCCTACTTTCTGCCTCTAGGTTTGACGACTCTAGGTACTTCGCATGGGTGGAATCATGCCGGTTTTGTCCTGGAGACTGGCTTATGTCACTCAGCTTAACGTTCTCAAGGTTCATCCACACTGTAGCTGTGCCAGAACGCCCTTGCTTTTAAAGGCTGAGTCATGCTCTGTTATACATTCACACCCCATCTGGTTTGTCCTTCCATCCACTGTATAGACACATAGGTAGCATGCACCTTTTGGTAACTACGAATAATGCTGTGATAAGCATGGGTGTAGAAATACCTGTATGAATCTCTGATTTCCACTACTTCAAATATTGGAGTTTATGTTTTAATTTTGGGGGGCAATAGCTGCACTGCTTTCTATTGTGTTACATTCCCATGTAAGAATTTCTGACTGTGTGTCTTCCTTCACTAGATGGAGCAGAGAGCATTCCCTTTTCCATTTCTCAACCCTCAGCATCTGTAAGCATGATTACTTCATAGCAGAAGCCTCTGTAGCAGACTGTGGACAAAGGCTGCGATTTATATGCTATTGCCTCTCCATCTGACGTCTCAATTCATGGCACATTGAGAGTGGCACTAAAAAGGTGCTGAAGGAACTAAAGTGTAAATAAAAAGGTGAATGCATGCAGTTACTATTGATTTTTCCTTGGCCTGTCACTGGACACAGAGGTTTTGGGAAGTTAAGCTACTGAGTTAAGTGTAGACCCCTGCCACCTCTGCTCACCCAGGAGTTTCACTTTACTGCCACTTCAGAGACACGGTGTACTGTCAGATCAGATCACAGTGGTGATGAGAGAGATACAGGCATGTGTCCTCGACTCCCCTCACTTCCCACTGCCCAAGCTAGGTTGTGCATTCTAACCAGGAGCACCGTGGAGAATGTCACCTGTGTGTGAGCTGCCCCTGAACGCAGGACGCTGGTCTCCTCTGAGGACTGTGTGTTCCACCAGCAGGGAGTAGGTGTGTCCTCTTCAGGAAGTGGTCTTGTCCTCCAACCACGGGCTAAAAGATTAGGTCAAGATCAACTCTTTGAGAACTCCAATTATTACTTTGGCAAATGCTTTTTTGTTATGTCTCAACTGATCTATCTTGACAAGTCCACCAGGTAGTTGAATTGCCTAAATTCAGACCCCGGGATGGAATTTTCAGGGCTGTGAAGTGTGTTGGCAACACCTGCTTTCAACACACGGTAGCTGTGCTCAGTGTCACGGACTTTGCAGGGATGACTTTCTCTTTTGTCCGGGCATTTGAAGACAATTTCAACTCTCCACAAAAGAAACCACTTTCGCTGCTAGTGAGACGCCATCAAGGCAGTAGAGGCTGCTGTTTAGGCTCCGTCACTATCAGAAGCACACGCAGCCTCGCTGTCAATCCAGAGCACACTTATCAGCTTGGTGTCACTCTGCAGCTTCAGGTTTCTTTTTTAAAAATTGATAGCTCACCTTGGAGATCCATTCATGTCATTATACAGATGAGAGATTTGCATTTCTTTTAATTGGTGCATAGTGTTTTAGTAGCTGTTTCTCCGATGACAGCCATTCTGGTTTTGTACTGTTTTACTCTTACTAAGGTGCTGTGGTGAACATTCTTGGAACACTGCCCATGTGTGGGTAGTAACCAGAGAAGATTATAGAGTTATAAGATGTGTGCATTTTCAGTTTTACTAGTTTGCCTGATTGTTCATCAAAGTGTCTGTGCCAATTTATACTCCCACCGGAGGGCAGGAGAGTGTCCTCTCTAATACTTGATATGTCCAAGTTTTGGTCATTCTGGGTGCATTTGTCTTACTTTTCATGTCACTGTGGACACATTTTAGTATTTGAGAGACATCTGATAGGTTGATGATGGCTGTTTCTGGCTGACTCCAAAGGCCAAAGTACTTGTCTTGTGAGCTACTGTGGTCCATACTCTTGGCTTTTAGTGGCAGGCCTTTGAGGTGGCTTTTTTTTTTTTTTTTTTTTTGCCAAAAAAGCTGTAATAAGAAGCTCATCTTCCTTTCTTGTGCTGCAAAATCTTTGCTGACCTAAACACACTCAAAGGGAAAGGGAGAAACAGAGCCCCCCCCATCCCCAAGCCTGGCCAGCAGCAGAATGGGGCCTATGCTGCAGGCCGCCATGAAACATCAAGCAGCTGCCCCAGGGGTGGTGGCTGCCGTGCCCCCATGGTCGGATTCTGCAGAGGGCCACAGTCCACCTCAGGGGACACCAACCTGGTGAAAACTGGACAGTGGTCACCCTGCCTCTGGGTGCTTGTTGATGTCACAAAATCCTCTGATGGAATTTAGATTCAGAGGCCTTAAAGAGTTCAGTAGGAGACTGTCACTTCCCTGCTTTGAGGAAATAGGACAGGAAGGGAGGGGAGGCCTGAGACCGATGTGTTTACTGTTATGGTTCAGATCTAGGCTGTCTCCCCAAAGTCTTTCGAGTTCAGAGGTGGTGCTTTTGTAAGGTGATTGGCTCGCAGGGGCTCTATTTATAGCAAAATGTGCTTTATGAGGTGGGGCCTGGTTGGCAGAGATGGGCCAACTGGCGCGTGACTTCCAAAATGATGCGTCTCCCTCCCTGGCCCCTCCAATCTCTCTGCTTCCCAGCTGCCGTGACAAGAGCAGCTTTCTCGCACCTGACCTTCCCACCACGCCCTTCCTCTCTTGGAGCCCACGGTCATGCATACACTGAGACCTCTGAAACTATGACTCAAAATAAGCCTCTCCTCCTTTAAATTGTGAGTGTGGGTATATGTGTCCCACAGACAAGGAAAGTGACCCAGGCAGTTACACTCTGGTTAATTCTGTTTTGTTCTCCATAAGATGTTCTTCAGGAAGCTAAAAGAATCACCCACAGACCGTGGTCATAGACACGTGGGAAAAGAATCCACTCATTCTGTTGGTGAAAACGTGGGTTCCGGTTCAGGGTTTGCTACTTTGTTTTCTAGTTTCCTAACCTGTAAATCCTGGCGAAGACGCCTACCTCCACCGAGAGCTCTTGCTCTTAGCAGTAACACCTGGCCAAAGGTTAGGACCACCAGCGGTGGCGAACCTATGGCACACGTGCTGCAGCGGGCTGTTCGTATCTTTGAAAGAGCTAACAGGTTCGCCATCACTGCCAGCGACTTGTTGGATAATTTAAGCAAGCTCCTTAAGCTTGCTCTTCCTTATTCCCTCAGTCTGTAAGAGGGTAATGATCATGCGGGGTCTCCCTGGCTTCTGCCAGGATAAAGACCATAGCAGGTGGGAAGGGTTTGGATAAATGCCTAGGATAAGCCATCAGGTGCAAACCCACGTCTGCAGGAAACTGGACTGGGAGTCTTTCCAGCCGTCAAAAACCAGCTTTACTTTAGTTGCAGGAAGAATGTGCTTTTTTGGATGTATCTGGTTGGCCGGACGATTTCTGGCCTGTCTTTTCAGGAAGCTCAGCAACAGACTCAGAGAGTTTCCAAAATGACAAACTGAAGTCTGGACCCGAGTCCTGATTCCACAGTCCCAGTCGGCTCCCGCACGCCACCTGGTGTCAGGTCCTCGCTACTGCCCAGAAACCACGTGTAAGAAAATGCTTACAACCTAACTACGTACTTTGGCGTCGACCCGTCCTAACCAATAGGGGAGGAGGAGGAGGGGCAGAGGCAAGTGAGAGCCCAATCAGCTCCGGCTTTCTGAGAGGAAGGCGGGGCTCGGGATTGACCACGTTGGGTTTGTCCGCAGCGCTAATTACTTTTTCCAAAGGCTGCAGGCTTCACTCCGGCTGGCGCCGACGCCTCGCGCTCTTGCTCCGCCGCCACGGTCTGGGGCGCTGGTCCCGAATACCATGTGTGACGGCGCCCTGCTGCCTCCTCTGGTGCTGCCCTTGCTGCTGCTGCTGGTTTGGGGACTGGACCCGGGCACAGGTAGCGCGCTCGCCGTGCGCACCGAGGCGTCCGGGCCGCCGGCCCCGCGGCTGCCGCTGACAGCGGGGAGCCAGGCGGCCGCTGCGGGGACCTCCCCGGGGTGGCGGCCGCGCGGGGGCGCCGGTCGGCGTGGCGGGGCCGGGGCGGGCGGCCGGGCTGCGCTGACGCGGCTCCTCTTTCCCCACAGCCCTCGGCGACCCGGCGGCCGACGTGGAGGTGGTGCTCCCGTGGCGGGTGCGCCCAGACGATATGCACCTGTCGCCGCTGCCTGGCGCTCCGGGGACCCGACGGCGGCGGCGACCCCGCGCGCCCCCCGCCTCCCCGCGCGCGCGGCCCGGAGAGCGCGCCCTGCTGCTGCACCTGCCGGCCTTCGGGCGCGACCTGTACCTGCAGCTGCGCCGCGACCTGCGCTTCCTGTCCCGTGGCTTCCAGGTGGAGGAGGCAGGAGCCACCGGGCGCCGCGGACGCCCCGCCGCCGAGCTCTGCTTCTACTCTGGCCGCGTGCTGGGTCACCCCGGCTCTCTGGTCTCCCTCAGCGCCTGCGGCGCCGCCGGCGGCCTGGTACTGCGCGCGCCCCCTCGAGTCTGCCCGTCCGGTCGGTTGCGACGCCCGGGGTGGTCCCCGCGGAGGGGTGGGTTGGCCGCCCCGACTCGGGAATCCAGCCTCCAGGGTCTAAAGAGCACCCATGTCTTCCCCTCTCTCACCCCTACCTCCATTCCGACCTTCTTAAAGTTCTCCAGCAAAGGGGGTGGGAGGAGAGTCGGAGCTCCGAGGGTGCGGAGGCTGGGGGAGGCCGGGTGCACGGAGGCAAGAGCTGCCGCCTGCCCTGGAAGTGCACAGGGAACTGTCAGGACCCAGGCCGAGAGGCGCCTGTGCCCAGGTGTGTGGGCACACGCCTGTCAGGGGCATCAGCTTTGCCCGTGTGTGCCAGCTGCTCAGGGGTTGGGAATCCACTTCCCTTCTGACCTTTTTAGTCTTGATACCTGGAAAAGAAATCTTGGCAGGGACCCCAGCCCCCTGCTAACCCCACTGTTAATTGAAAGGTAAGAACTGGAAGGGGAGAGTTGTTGGCATTCTTGTTTGTTTCTTTGTTGGCATCCACTCCCAAGAACAGCTGGGTGCATCTCTTAGCCGCGCCCCTAGAGTTCCCCCTTTCCCGATACTCTAACCTGTGACAAGTACTCTGAGGGCTGGGAGAGTTCTTGAGTATTTTTGCCCTGCTTGGGCTCACACTTGATCACTTGGCTACCCTGGTGCCCGGCCAAACACTTCTCAGCTTGTGCATGGTGCCCCCAAGGAGCGCACATGGCTGACAGATGGGCTGCCCCTGGAAAGCCTGGTATCGACTGAAAGCATGAAATGGATGGATTGTTTCTGTGTCATTTGTCACCATCAACTCTACGGAGACAGTTTCTGCTGTTTTGTGTCTGCCCCTCCCAGGCACAAGACCTTGCTCCTGCCCCCTCCATTTATCTTGCACTACCACCTAGAGTTCTCTCACCCCTTCCCGCAACTTGCTGGGAATTGTAGCAAAGCCAGGAAGTCTAGGGGTCCAGGTTTTTATGTGAGACTTCTGCTTTCTCCTCAGTGCTATGGGGGTGGGGTGGAGGGGCCCTGGGTGCAGTTTCCTGGGATCAGCCTAATTCTCCTTTCAGGACTTTTCAGAGTTCTGAATTTAGGGTGTGATCTGCTTTTGCTTGACTGGGAGAAATTGGCAGCTTTGGTGAAACAAGGAAAATGGTATAGGCTGTGTGGGGTGCATTAACGTGGAAGGGGGCAGAGAAGGGGTGTGGCTCAGGGTACTTAAGTGGGGTGAGAAAGGCTCTGATCACTAGGGCTCAGGTCAAGCCTGTGTCATGTTCTGGGAGGGACTCAAAGGCCCACATCATTTTTCCTATTTTTGCTGAAGTGTTTCAAGTCTAGGTCACATCACTGTACTGTACATGGAAACATCTGAATCCCATTTGCTGCGGTTTAGTGAGTTTCTGTAGAGGTCAGAGTTTATACTTCTTGGTGTAAAGTTTCCAGCGAGGAGCTATCTGTGAAGGAGCTGAGGCTGGAAATCTGGATAACATTGATGTAAAGTCTATGCCGAGTGAGTGCTGAGCCTCCTCACAGATGGCATCTGAGCCAGGTTTTCTGGAAGGCCGTCCTTCCCTTTGGCACCATGTGGGGGCGCTGTGCTGTAGATAAAGGAACCCGGCCAAGAGGCTGACTTCACCGCGCTGCAGTGTCCGGTGGACCTCGAAGACTTAGCTTTTCACTTCCAGCTTGAGCAGACTCTGCTGTTGTTTAGTCTCCTTTGTTTATCCCATTCCCATGGGCTGGACATTGGACCCTTCTCCCCGAGTACACATAGAACCGGTTTAAGGCAGGAGGGGATGATGGTGGGTGGCTTGGAGTGGCCTCTCGGTGGCAGTGATACCCTGGAGAGCCAAGGAGAGCAAGCCTCAGGGCTTGGGCTGACGGACTTTGCTCTGCATGCCGTGCCTGGCCTTGGTTCTCAGTGCAGTTGGGTGGTGATGCTGTGCTAGTCCTTCTGGACAGCGGCACGGGACTGTGAAGCAGAGATACTGAGTTGTGCTCCTGTGTTTGTCAGGACAGGCTCCGCTCTAAGGCGTGGGAAGCGAGCAGTGTCAAGTAGGTGCTCCTAGGGGGCTGTGAAGGGGGATTTCAAAGGCCTCTGTATTTAACATGTCATCTAGAGCAGGAGCGGGCATGCTTTCTGAAAAGGACCAGAGTAAATATTCCAGGCCAGGGATTCCCTGCCACAACTTGTCAGCACTGCCCTTTCAGTGTAAAAGCAGTCACGGATGGGGTATAAACAAGTGGATGTGGCCACACTCAACAAAACTGTGTCCCGGATATTGAGTATTGCTGACTGCTGTTCAGTTGGCCATACCTAATGTCTCTAGGTGGCAGGGTGTTGAGCCCAGGGCCAGGGAGCACACAGATTCTGCTCCCCATGGCGTGGAATCTGTGCTCTTTGAGCCCAGAGATATTGACTGTCTGTGGAATGGAAGTGCACTGTTAGTATAGATTGTTGCTTAATGGTTTGTGGGACCTGGAGGATAAATCACAAATGCTGGTTTGTACTCCTCCCTTGGAGGGCAGAGGGGCCGTGGCAACCCCCCTGCCCCCTGTCTTATCTTGAAGAGCCATGCCATCTGCGCTTTTTGGACCTTCAAAGACCCTGGGCTCAAGGACTTTGTTCTGTTTATGCTTCTTTGTTGTATTTACATTTCAGGGAGTCTTTAGACATAGTGTGGATTTTTGGAAGAGTTCCTGTAACCATGACCATGTAATGTCAAAGCAATAAACTTTAGGCATGTGAGGAAGGTATCTGTGCTTCTAATGAATTTATCTACATTTGGATCAGCTGCCCCGCTGCGATTGGCATGAGAGCACGGAAGGCCAGCAAAATGCCAAGTTCAGCTCCACAGGTAGAGAGGGCAGTGGAGATGTGGCACTTTAAGAGGCAGAATGAGCAGCGGTCTCTGAAAAGGCTCTGCTCGACTTGTCGGAAAAGAATGGATGCAGGACATGCTTTGGGCGAAGGGCATAGGGGGCTGGAGTCCTGGTATGGGGTGTGGCCTGCCTCACAGTGGCTATTTTTCCTTCTGTGGAGACTCGAGCTCTTCGAGTGCACCAGAGCCTGTCCATCCCTTCTTGGCCAGGAGCATGAGTGACGTGGGACTAGACAACACCAAAGCCACCGGCAGAGGGCCGAGAGAAGGGCAGCCACATGCTGCAAGGCCCTCACAGTGCCTCTGGTCTAGACACGCTCGCCGGCCAGAGAGCACGGGGCCATTTCTGTGGCACATTGGTGGTGCGTCCACGTTCTGCATTCTGCACAGCTCCCCCTGGTCACTCAGGAACTTGGAGAATGCATGCCTCTGCCTCACAGTGGAAGCAGTGTAGGGCCCGGTCACAGTGCAAGCGGCAGTGGGAGTCAGGAGTCACAAGAGGTGGGGGATGCTGTTCTCAAGAGGGCAGCCTGCAGTCAGCACCCCTGTGATGAAGGGGCAGGGTTGGGGTATTGCTGCCTCACTCTTTAGAAAAGAGTGTGACTGAACTCTTTGGTTGATTGGTTATAAAATTGCCCAGCTTAATAATGCAGCATCACTTCGAGTACAGCTGAGCAGGAATTGGTCTTGGTGAGAATTTTGTGGTGTGGAGACTGCTCAGAAGGGAGCAGATAGGTCAGACTGCATCTCAGTACATCACTGTCCTGTCTCCAGGAGCCACATTGTCCTAAGCAGTGGATTAATGCAGGTTGCTCAGGAATTGATCATGTGCTGCATAAATAGGTTTGAAGACACCAAGCACATATTTTGAACTTTTCCAAAGGAAACAATTGAGTGGACGTTAGCCTATGTATGCTGAAGATTGAAATGGTTTTCTCTCTTGCATGATTCATACATTACCTAGAAAGATTCAAAGAATGAGAATTGGAAGAGAAAACATTATGTCCCATTGTTATGGGCATCCTCAAAATGGATCATGGGCATCGAAGGGTTAAGGGGCATTGAGACAGGAATGAAAGGAGAGGAGCAAGTGATGGGAAGTTTGGGGCCTGGAAGAGTTTGCAGAGGACTCCAGTCAGAAAGTTCCAAGGTCTCTGGTCTCTTCCTCTGGGAGGACATTCACACAGCCTCACGGTGGCTTCTCTTCATCCTCTCTGACCTCTCACCCTTTGTGCTGTTCTGCCCCTCCTGATTGTCACTACTTAAGGGCTTTATCCACCTGTAGACCTGAGTTGCACTCTTAGGATGCCAGGCTTCAGCTGCTTTCTGCAGCACTCCCCATGAACACGACATAAGGCAGTTAGACGTCTGCACTTTGATCTTTTTAATAAAAAATTTTTGGTTTTTAATTAAAAATTAAGGATTGAACCCAGGGCCTTTGCACTGAGCTGCACCCCCAGTTCTTTTATATTTTTAACTCGACACAGTCTTCCTAAATTGCCCAGATTAGGCTCAAACTTGCTAACCTCCTGCCTCAGCTTCCCACCATGCTGGGATTTTAGGCCTGCACTCACCCTGAATTGGCATCATTTAAAACAGAAACAGAAAAAGATGGGCTGATGAGCTGAAGAAGTCTTAGCTGATTGCATTTCCTAAATGCCAAAATGCTGGAGTCGTCTGGCCTTGGATCTGGGGGACAGAAGATGCCTTTGCATCTGGGGTCCAGGGGAATCAGCAGGCACTGGTTAATCTTTCCCCTCACTTGCTTCTCTGTCCAGGCACAGAGGTGCGTAGTCATACTGTTGTTCCTGAGGAGATGAAACTGCGGGGCCACGTGGGGCTGTGACCTTGAGGGAGTCACCTAGTGCCCTGGAACCTTCTACAGCCATAGGAGGGGGTTAAATAACATCAGCCGTGCAGGGCTGTTGATGGAGTAACAAAGCATGTGGAGTCATTCAGTAAGGGCCTGGCACGCTAAGGTGTTAAAAACAGGTTTCTTCTCTTGCCCTCCAGGACAGTCCCAGACTTTTCCAGTTATAAATCAACCAGTAGCTCAGGGCTGTGGAGGGTGAGCAGATCCTTATCACGCACCTG